TCTCCTCCATCAGATCTCGTGTGATGCCCTCACATACACCAACCATATTACCAATATTAACCTAACCTAACCTAACCTAACCTAACCTAACCTAACCTAACCTAACCTAACCTAACCTAACCCAACCTAACCTAACCTAACCTAACCTAACCTAACCTAACCTAACCTAACCTAACCTAACCTAACCTAACCTAAGCTAACAGCAAACAGCAGACAGTATGAGTTTTGTCAAATCACTAGCAATATTTTGTTTATAATGGAAATAGCTCCATAAAGTAATGCACATAATATAAATAGTTAATAGAAACAAATGAAAAAAATTACCGATCAATCTGGTATATTAACAATATCAACAGGAGGAGGTAACGGTAAAATATTATCTGCTCTGTTGAAATTATAGAATGGAACATTTGCATGGACAACATGCAATCTCTCGTTCATTCCAGGAACATGCACAGGGGGAGGAAAATTTGATATAATAATGATGGGTCCATGAAATTTAATCAGTTCAGCAGGTTGATGCTTAATATATTTAGTAGCATATTGACCTTCTAACAATTTTTTCAAACCACCGTAATCTATATTAACATTATGAGGTTCGAATTCATCGAATACAATGAATTTATGATACTTGGGATTGAAATTTTCTAAATAAAATTTGTCATCACAGGTAGTGTGGAATGTACGTCTACGCATTTCCTTCGTGAATGTCAACTCATATCGTATCACTGGAGTTTTTCCTACATCAACTGGACCCCACAGATACAATTGAGGATGTTTATGTTCAAGTGGATGAGAGATGAAATTATTAAACCACATCATAACTAACAAAACCCATGGACATATTGTCACTACTGAAATAGCTTGATATGGAATATCAACTGTTTGAAACTTCTCATTTGATTCAGTACGTTTATATAATTGTATAAATTTGTGACAAGTTTTAAATTCTGTAACAAAAGGGTGAGTTACAGTAAATGTTTCTCCCCGGGTCTCCTCACAATATAGTTTTAAACGATAGTTGAAATGTAATTTACTTTCGGAACAATTGTATAAGGGGTTTTTATCTTCTTTAGTTATATATAATATCCATTTGATAGGATTAACGCAAGTTTGAACATCAATACCTGGACGATTGTCATCCACCACCATCCCTCCCATCTCCTCTTCCTCTATTTCTTGCATTTCCTCTACCATCATTACCTCCTCCTATATCGCCATTTCTAGCTCCTACCTCTATCTTGTATGTTATTACCTGCTTGTGGGTTAAATGGAGCAGGTGGACCAGGTGGTACTATCGGTCTGCGAGATATAGCACCTCTATCACCAATAGCATCATTTTGAACACCAACCAACCCTACATTTGTATATCTGTGAGATGAAATAGAGGAAATGTTCAATGGTAATATTAATGTGGGAATAGTTATAGGCTGACACATCACGATTAGTATATAATAATGTGCTTGTACATATATATTATCTTGAACAATACTGTATAATTGATTATTTATTTATTTATTTATTCTGCAGAAACAAACAGGCAGAGCCTAATAACATGTTTCTAAAAAAATCTAAATATAAAAGGCAATTAAAATTGAATTAAATATGACAATAATAATAATACTCACAACAACAATAATAATACCAATAATAATAATAATGACAATGAATTCCTAACTGAAGAAGAGGAAATTCACACCAGACATCATGAATTCTCACCAAGCATTTATAACATTCTTCAAATTGGCTTTGAATTTGGGAATTGAAGTATCAAAAACAACATACGTTATGGTTGCCGAATATGTATTATATAATCTGCAGAATCTATTGACTGGGGTATCGTATTTATTTATGTAGAAAGATATTTGTCGTGGACGAACTCCTGGTGGCGGCACGTAAAGGAAAATTTCACTAATTAGGAACATACTATCTACCTGTCCATTCAATAATTTAGCAAGTAAGGTTAAGCTTATGAGGATTCTTCAACGTTCAAGAGTTTCTAAACCGAATTCTTCTCTAATAGGACCGTAAGAAGTGAAACTAGGTTTATATTTTTTGTGATATAGGAATTTTAGAAATTTATTTCGGATTGTTTCCATAATTTTTTTCATTTTTTGTTGTCCTGGATCCCATATAGTACAAGCATATTCTATCTTGCTTCGAACAATTGTGATGAACAAGTGTTTAATGACATTTGTATCTGTGAATTCTTGTGTGGTACGTTTCAAGAAACCGAACAACTTATTGGTTTCTTTCACAATATTCTGCATGTGTAGAGTGTACTTGAAGTCACTTTGAAATATTACTCCGAGGTCACATATTTTGTCGACTCTTTCTAAAATAGTATTTTGCATAGTGTGAATGAAATTGTGTCTATTATTGTTCCGAGAGAACGTGATAACTTTACATTTAGATAGATTGAATGATAATTTATTTTCCAAAGACCAATTCACTATCAGATCTAGATCATTTTGCAGTTCAAGATAATTATTGAGATCATGAACTTTTCTATACATCCTAAAATCATCAGCATATAGCAAACAATTGGATGAAATCCCTTCTGGAAGGTCATTGATGAAAATTGAGAAAAGTAATGGACCCAGGTTTGACCCTTGTGGTACACCTGAGCCCGCCAAGAATGAGTGAGATTCCTCACCTTTAAAAGCAACATGTTGTTCTCGTGCCTTCAGATATGAGACGAAAAAAAATTATCAAATGATTCTCAGTCCGTAGAATTTTAACTTAGCCAATAATATATTATGAGAAACCTTGTCGAAGGCTTCAGCAAAATCCGTGTAAATGCAATCAACCTGGATTTTTTCATCCATACTTTTACTTATATTTGTACTGAAAGTCAATAAATTTGTTTCTGTTGATCTTTTCCTTGTGAATCCATGTTGGTCAGATACAATATGATTTTCCAAGGCAGATGTAGTTTCTCGTGAATAATAAATTCAAAAATTTTCGCAATACAGTTCAGTACTGCAACCGGTCGATAGTTATTCATTTCAAATTTCGCACCTTTTTTGAAAATCGGTGTTATTCGAGTCTCTTTGAACTGGTTCGGGAATACACCACTTTTTAGTGATTTGTTATAGATTATTGAAAGTGGGTATGCTGAACAATCTTTGCATGCTTTGAAAATGTAGCACGGAATATTGTCTGGTCCAGATGACCTTTTTGGTTCTAATTTCCGAAATGCTTGTTCTAGTTCACAGTGGTAGATCTTATCAAAATGTATATTTTTGGAGAAATCAACACGCTGATTAGCTAACCTGTTAATTTCATCCAAATTATAGGTAGAGTCGTTTTCGTACACTGAGCAAAAGTAATCCGCAAATTCTCCCGCAATAATTTTTGAATCAGATACTTGGCGATTATTAATCATAAAGTTATTCTCATCATTCATTTTCTGCTTTCTATTCTTGATGAAGTTCCAAAACAGAGTACTGTCATTCTCAATGTCAGCTTGAATATTTTCAACAAAATTCTTATGAGCATTTTTGATTTTGAGTTTCAATGATGCTCTAATTCTTTTGAAATTCTCAAGGTAGTAATGGGAAAATTTTTTTCGCTTTCTAAAATATTCTTTGATTTTTATATCAGCTTTAATTTCTGTAGTGAACTAGGGTGGAAATGATTTGAAATGTCTTGGGTTCTCTGGAAACTTTGGTACTGATTCGTCAAGTATATTGTGAAAAATATGATAAAAATAATTAACACAATCATTGACGTCATGATATAGATTGAGTACAGACCAGTCAAAATCTCTGAGGAGCTTATAGAGTTGATTGAAGTTCGCTTTTTTGAAATTGTATTTATTCTGAATGTTATTCATAGATGGCAAGTAATCAACTTTTGTTATTTCATATTCTATCAACAGGGCCGGATGATGTTTTCCATCTTTTTTAACCAATGGTGATGAGTCCTCCTGTACATTCACTTCTAAGTTACTCAAAACTAAGTCTAACGTTCTGCGGTTTTCGTTCATAACATCATTGAATGATTTCAAGTTATGTGTATCTATTAGTGATGATATTGTACTAATGATTTCATTCCGATTGTCAAATTGAAATAGGATACCATCTATTTCTGGTATATTCTAGTCCCCCACAAATAAGAGGAAAGTGTTTTGATCAATTGTAATGTCATCGCATAAATCAACATATTCCTTATACACCTGCGATTTACATCCTGGTGGAATGTAAGTTGAGTTTATAATGATTTCATTTCCCAAAATATTAATTCTGACAAAAATAGTTTCAATGGTTGTTTGTGTTATAATCAATGAAGAATTAAACATATTTCTTACCGCAACCAGAACTCCTCCACCCCTTTTTTTGTCAGTTGATTGAATATTTCTATCCTTTCTAAATAGTTTATAGTTTCCATCGAACAATTCACCATCGTTTATATCTTCAGTTAGCCAAGTTTCTGTTGAAATAATGACATCGTGTGATTCTGAAAATAAGTTATTCTTGAATTCTGCTGTCTTGGTGCGAAGTCCTCTACAGTTTTGATAATAAATATTTAATAACATTTGAATTTGATTGATATACTATTTATGTGAAGAGTGATGGACAGCTCTTGACTCTGTTCACAAATAATAACTACTTGTTCAAGAGGGGTAAAAAACAACGAAAGAAATAAAACGCAATGTAAGATTATTTCTGAAGTAAGTAGTAGAACCTACCTTAGTTGAAGAATATATAGTAATACATAAGCCCAAAATTGTTTTCCTAAATCACAATAGTTTCCATAAACTCCCAACTCTATATAAAAATAAATATTGTGAGAAATAGTGAACTTTCACCTGGGTACAAAAACTCATAGACCGGCAATAAGAAGTCTGCAACATTTTATACCGAACCTTCGTGATCAGTTACAGGTCTTCCGCACTACACAGTTCTTTCTTGCGATCATCATTTTGAACAAACACCTTTCCTCCCATGGTCCAGACTTGTCTATACTCATATTTTTTCTGGGCCAACTGGAACAGCTCATATCGCTCTTTGGAAAGATCTGATACCACTATTTTTGAGCATCTTCTTAGCGAGGTAAACCTCAGTTCGCTTCAATGTTGTTACAAACTTAACCAGCGTTGTCCTTGCTCCAGTTTTATGATATGGTTTTTCGATTCTGAAAACATCACTGATATCCACAGGATCACACTTTACTTTGAGGGTTTCCCTTATGAATCTAATTGTCATCTCCAAGGGATTTCTTCTGCCATTCTCAGGTAATCCATTTATTCGCAGTGAATTTTTCCGTTCCATATGGTCAATGGTACTACGTAAGAAACGCAGATCATCTTCATTTCTATGTACTATCTTCTCCACACTTCCTAAATTTGCTGTTATTATTGAGATATTCTGATTGAATTTTTCGAACCTAGCATCCATTTTAGCATCAAGGGATGCCACGACTTTTTCACATACTTTCTCTATGATTTTCTCTAAGTGTTCATTAATAAACTCACCCGCTTGAGTTTTCGAATCGAAATCTTCGTTTTTCGATAAAGAACTGGAAATGCTCCGTAATGTTTTCTCGTAGGTCTTCGGCATGCTGAGTATATTTGACTATCTGAATCGAATGCGTTTTGAATCAAAACTCACCAACAGAGGCTCTATAATTTCACCCCGATATGATCTTCTTGTTCAGAATCTTCAAAAGAATAATCTCAGAAAATTTCAGATTTTAAATTGTAGTTTGAACTCACTAAAACTTTAAATTTAGCCAAGAGCTGTCTTCAACGTGTTCACGATAAATGCGACGTTGCCATATATTATTATTGTTCTTATTTTTATCATTATTTTGATTGTTCATAATTAATCAATATTCACTACTCACAATCAACAATTATTAAGAAACATACACAAAAAACATCAAATATTGTGTAATTATTACATGAACAAGAAACTAACAAACATTCAATAGTAAAGAAACAAGACAAATTCGAAAACACTAACATACATTCAATCGTAAAGAATGGAGTGGAATTAACAGATACAACATGAGTGTATTAGAATAAAAATAATTTTTTAATGTACCTAATGTTTGTGTTTTTTTATATACCTGAGATATGAACCAATTATCATTAAACTGTTATCCTTGGAAGTTCAATGAAATAATTTGATATGAAATAATTAATTATTATCAGCTACTTTATGTAAATTGATAAACTATCACATGACTTCTCCATTTGTAATATACAAATTTGTACCACTGATTTTTATATTATGACATTGTTTTATGGTATATGAATGTTTTTAAATATACTATAAAGGTAATGAAAATCCTGAATAAGGCAAATAGAAATTTTTATTTCTCCTCCTAATACTTTCCTACGACATTATGAGTCTATAGGACGAATACTTTTTGAGATAGTGGCACGAAAAGTGAGCTATATGCGTTTATTGCTAATAGGAGCACTTCGAAAAGCTACTGAACGTTCATCTCTCAGAATTACTCGATTTCCATCACAGATTCTTTCATTACGACCTCGAATTAGTCTACATGAATTTTTCCAGATTTTTAATAGGCCGAATAAAAATTTTCCCATACACACAGTCCCATACGAAGTAACGACCAAGGCACCTTCGGACGGCCGAAAGTGCCGGAAAACGGCGGAAATTCTCGCGAATTATCACTTCACTTATAGAAAATGATCAGTTGAATCGCATAAGACCAATGTCAGCTCGATAGGACGAATACTTTTTGAGATATGGGCACCAAAAGCCAGCCATATGCGTTTATTGCCAATAGGAGCAATTCGGAAGGCTACTGAACCTCTATCTTCCAAAAGTGCCCAATTTTCACCATAAATTATTTCATAACGACCTCGAATTAGTCTACATGATTTTTTCCTGATTTTTAATAGGCCGAATGGAAATTTTTATTTTTCCCCCTAACAGTCCCATACGAAGTAACGACCAAGACACCTTCGGACGGTCGAAAGTGCCAGAAAACGGCGGAAATTTTCGCGAATTATCACTTCTCTTCTTAAAAATGATCTACTGAATCGAATGAGACCAATGTCAGCTCGATAGGACGAATACTTTTTGAGATATTGGCACCAAAAGTCAGCTATATGCGTTTATTGCCAATAGGAGCACTTCGGAAGGCTACTGAACCTCTATCTTCCAAAATTTCCCGATTTCCACCATAGATTCTTGCATAACGAGTTCAATGTCAGCTCGATAGGACGAATACTTTTTGAGGTATTGGCTCCTAAAGTCAGCTATATGCGTTTATTGCCAATAGGAGCACTTCGGAAGGCTACTGAACCTCTATCTTCCAAAATTTCCCGATTTCCATCATAGATTCTTTCATTACGACATCGAATTAGTCTACATGAATTTTTTCAGATTTTTAATAGGCCGAATAAAAATTTTTATTTTTCTCCTTAACAGTTCCATACGAAGTAACGACCGAGGCACCTTCGGACGGCCGAAAGTGCCGGTAAACGGCAGAAATTCTCGAGAATTATCACTTTTCTTATAGAAAATGATCTGCTGAATCGAATGAGACCAATGTCAGCTCGATAGGACAAATACTATTTGAGATATCGGCACCAAAAGTCAGCTATATGCGTTTTTTGCCAATAGGAGCACTTTCGAAGGCTACTGAACCTCTATCTTCCAGAATTTCCGGATTTCCACCATGAATTCTTTTATAACGACCTCGAATTAGTCTATATGAATATTTCCAGATTTTCAATACGCCAGATAAATTTTTTTATTTTTCCCCCAACACTCCCATACGAAGTAACGACTGAGGCACTTTCGGATGGCTGAAAGTGCCGGAAAACGGCGGAAATTCTCGCAAATTATCACTTTTCTTATAAAAAATGATCTGCTGAATCGAATGAGACTAATATCAGCTCGATAGGACGGATACTTTTTGAGATATCGGCACCAATATGCCTATATGCGTTCATTGCCAATAAAAGCACTTCGAAAAGCTACTGAACGTCCATCTTTCAGAAATTCCTGATTTCCATCACAGATTCTTCCATCACGACCTCGAATTAGTCTACATGAATTTTCTCAGATTTTTAGGACACGGAATAAAAAATTTTATTTTTCCCCCTATCGGGAAATTCTGGCAGATAGAGGTTCAGTAGCCTTCCGAAGTGCTCCTATTGGCAATAAACGCATATAGCTGGCTTTTGGTGCCGATACCCAGACGGCACAATCATATTCCATGAATATCCTATGCATATTGCGTTGGAATATTGCCATATGCCATGGATATTCCATGTCCTCCAAAACATATAATATGCATATTCCAGGAATATCCAAGGTCACCATGAAACATATGCCAGGAATATCTGTGAATCTTCCAAAAGAGATTGGTGGCATATACTAGGAATATGTTTTTTGTATATGCATAGAATATGCTTTTCAATCATTACTAGAATGAAATATCTGTATGAAATGTAATTTATTATGTAAAAGATAGAAATCAACATACAGGATGTAGGTTAGTAAAATACTTGAAGCTTGCACTTTATATATCATATCATATGATTTTTTTCTTCTCTTGAACGGTAGCCGTGATGAATTCAACAGGATCTGCAATGATTATAACATAGCAAATACTAGAATATGAAAATTGATTGAATTCACTCACCTTTGCTCTGGGCGTGCTACAAAAGTTGAAAGAACTAGATACTGAATTTGTCAACATCTGAGTTAATCAGCTGATTTCAATCTATTATTTATTTCTTTGTCACGTTTGTATCTTCAACAACACGAGTATTTCCTGGATTTTCCACTTGACAAATGGGTAGATATAAGTGAGTACTGAAAAAAAATGAGGTGCATCTACAGGGTGTATCTAAATAACAAAGAAAAATTTCAAGTGGTGATTTCGTGATGAAAATTGAGGTGGGCGTTTGGTATGAATTTTTTTGAAAAATCTCTTCACGGAATAGTAATAACACCCTTCTCAAAATTAGAAAGATGGTTTTTTATTTTTCATTTCCTCTGTATATGACTAAAGGCACAGAACTTGTTAATATTATTCATCAAGAAAACTACCCATTTTGGAGTGTTTTCAACCCTGAAGAATGCTCAGAAGGGCTTGAAATATACAACGCCTAAGATATTTCTTTTACAACTTTTTTTTATGAACACTTTTTTTTTAAAAACACATGGCGAATGCTTTCCCAGAGATCAACAATAAGGAAGTAAATGGATTGGGCTTTTCAGCTGTTTTTTTTTTTAATTGTGAGATGAATATATTCCAATAACCCCTTCTAAGCATACTTCAGGGTGTTAAACATTTCAAAATGTGTAGTTTTATTGACACATGATATTTACCAAGTTTCGTGTCTTTAACTAAATATACAGGGAAATTCAAAAATTAAAACCATGTATTTTTTTATCTTCGGATGTGTGTTACTCATCCGGGGTTGAGAGGGTTATCAAAAAATTCTATACCAATTACCTTCATTCTCATCACAGAATCACTCACCCCTTTCATTTTTTCGATGTTATACAATATGAATTCATTAATGTATAATCTTAGGTATACCTCATATTGGTATTGAGTGCCATTTCTCCTTTGTGACCCTCTTCAGTTCAATGGCGGCGAAAAGAGAAGTTCATCCTAAGTTAATGTTCCATTTTTGAATTGTAACTAACTTCAAACGTCTGAAACTTTATATTGATGTCAACACTATTCACAGTAATCGATACACATTCTAGCACTTCTGCTCAAACTAATAATTCCATGCTCTTCTCGTCTGTTTATAATAAAAACAATCGCGGCATATTCGCCCATGTTGATATCACGTCCTTCACTAGGTGACTGTGGAATGTGGAACAAAAGGCGATGACCGACAGACACGTGTCGTGTCCATTCGGCATAGGTCGACATTCCGACAATCTGCTTTTGAAATATTCCTGGAATTTTCGAAAAGCATATCTAATGGATATTCGATAAACATATTCAGGGAATATTCTTCGAGGATATCTAATGAATATTCGGAAAATATATTTCAGGAATATTCCCTGAGGATATTAGATCAAGCACATATTCATGGAATATTCCAGGGATAATGCAATATTCATTGGAAAATTGGATGTAGTAGGCATATTCCAGGAATATGAGGTGCCGTCTGGGTATCTCAGCAAGTATTCGTCCAATTGAGCTGATATTGGTCCCATTCGATTGAACAGATCATTTTCTATAAGAAAAGTGATAATTCGCGACAATTTCCGCCGTTTTCAGGCACTTTCGGTCGCCCGAAGGTGCCTCGGTCGTTAATTCGTATGGGACTGTTAGGAGGAAAAATAAAAAAAAATTATTCGGCCTATTAAAAATCTTAAAAAATTCATGTAGACTAATTCGAGGTCGTTATGAAAGGATCTGTGATGGAAATCAGGAAATTCTGAAAGATGGACGTTTAGTAGCTTTCCGAATTGCTCCTATTGGCAATAAACGCATATAGCTGGCTTTTGGTGCCGATATCTCAAAAAGTATTCGTCCTATCGAGCTGATATTGGTCTCATTCGATTCAACAGATCATTTTCTATACGAAAAGTGATAACTCGCG